TGAGAGGAGGAGGAGACTAATGATGTAATGAAATATTCACAAACTGTTTCTTTCATATTTGAAGAACTGAGAGAAAGAGAGAGAGGAGGAGTATATTATTGATTATACATAATATTTACTTGGACAATATTTCATGTATTAATACTAGTCCAGCTGTATGTAATTTAAATATACTGTATAAACTAATAAATGAAATATACTAAAAGAAAAAAGAGTAATAAAATATCAATTATTATTATTATTATTACTTTGATTAATAATTCAATTAAATTTTGATGATTAATATACATCAAATCTCGTAAAACCACGCCCACACTAATTACCTCATCAATCACCTTATCCTAATAATAGTAACAATATTAATAATACATTAATTACATCAGTATTACATCATCTGTTTCTTTTAGTTTATTAATCAGTAGCCATGTACCAAACGTCTCTGGAGACTGAGACAGACTCATTGCTTGATGATCTATCGCTCGTCTCAAACCATCAGACCAGCCTGTGATCACATGATCAGTGAGTAATGTCATGTGACTGTATATATACCTTGTGATATATCAGGTAAATTGGTTGCTTCTGATCCTAACTGATAGAGATATATAAAGAGATAGTGTTTGGATTATTTACTTCTTCTAATAGTCTCTCAAAGTCAATGTGTGTCTCCATTACACTCAGCATATCTTTGAAAATACTGTCCATTATCACGCAATACACATGTGTGACCACGTGTGTTTAGTGATGGGCGATATATCGATTCTTTATCGATATAAACGATATTTTACGGAATTGATTTGAATCATTATCAAAAATTTTATGCAATTTTCATTGATCTATTGACCACGCCCATTTATTAAGGTTAAATGACTAATTTTAATAAGTAATTGCACTGTTGAACTGCAAGAAAGAGGCAACTGACCAGTTGTTAGCTCAGCCTACCCCAATAAGAAGAGAAACAAGGCTCAAGAGCATGGAAACGATCTTCTCTTATGTCCAGTACAGTGCCAAAATCATTAGCCACACCCTTGACACACCCCTAAATGAAGGTGTGGTTATCGTATCGTTAATAATTGATATTTCCTTAAAAAGTCCATTATCGATCGTTATCGAAAATTAAGAAAATTGGCCATATTGCCCATCACTACGTGTGTTGCACAGAGAAAATTTTCAATATTTTTCATCAAGAAGGTGTGGTGTTCAATTATTAAAAATTAATTTGGTATCTTGGCCATGGAAAGGTGTCTGCTGCAGTGTCGGAGATCAAACTCTGGATTTATAAAGAGGAAAAGGTATTTTATTTTTACTAGATTAAATAAAAGACGATGGGATGATGAATAATTACATGAGATGTATATGCTTTGTATGGAGGAAGGGGCTGGTTGTGCATGAACATTGTGTGAGGTCTTTCTGTGCATGTATATCCCCATGCACTGACACAATATGCAATGTTCAAACACAAGTAATATCTGGTATACCAGCCCAGGGTGGTGCTGAGGGTGCTTGAGCACCCCCCTTATGGCTGGGCTCAGAAAAAATTACTGAAGTTCTGGACTCTTGCATCACTACCAAGCCTCTTATTAAAGTTATCTAGCACCCTGATTATGATTTCAGCAGTTTCCAGTCCTTCAAAGAGTGATCAAAAGTACCAGTATGCGAGCCAGTATGCTTGAAATCATAGAAATGATCTTGACCTCACCCGTAATTGACGAAAAATGAAGAAAAACGCAGTTTTAACCAATAAAAAGTGGGCGTAGCCAAAATTGCAGCGCGCTTCGCACGCCTCCTAATTTCCTTTTCTGTTGCATTCTGTACCCCAGCACCCCCTTTTCCAAATTCCTAGATACGCCCCTGCAGCCTGATGGCACTATATTTAATAAATAGGGTCAAGTAGCAACAAGATGACTATACTACACCTTGTTTTCAATCTGGAGGTTTTGGGTTTATTAATTATTTCGTGGCCGGTGGATTCTATAGTTTATCCTACATAGAAGATATGCATGTATCATTCATAAGTTTATCCCTACCAAATATACAATGTAACTACAAAATTGGCTGCCATCTTGGACATCAGGCTTCTTAACAGTTCAATGGAAAAAATCTTTTTGATCTACTAACTTCTTGCTGTTGCCATTAAAGTTAAAATTAAATGATTTAAATGTAGGATATAGGTTAGTAATGTCCATATGAAGAATAGGAACTATTTTCACAGACATTTGTATAACAACTATAGCCCATGTATATGAATCTAACACAATATATCCTTCACACTATTATAGCAGTCCCTCTCCCACATATCCTACTACTACTGGAACTGATATTACAAATCTAATAACAAGAATTGTGCCAGTAGTTATGAAAATACAGTTATTTTTACTCTCATAATACTTGCATAACACACTAAATTTAGCATGAAATGATGAGTATATAGGTTTGGTCATTCATGACTTTAAAATTAACTGATGCATGAGTGGAAGCATAGGATGCTGCAAGTTGGTTATGTAGAATGATAAATTGC